TAGTTAATATTAGATACATATTTACAATGAAAACTCGAAAAATTGAAAATCAAAAGCTAAAGAATCAAAAATTGAAAAATCGAGAAACTGAAGAATCTAAACTTGAAAAAACGAATAATTAAAAATTTCTGGAATTCTCAATTATCCTGTTTTCCGGTTTCTTTAATTTTCAACATTACCGCTTTAATAAGTATTTCGTTTTTCGATCTTGCACTTCTTCAATTTTTCAGTTTCCCAATTTTTAATTTTTCAGTGTTTTAATTTATCATTTCCTCGATTTTTAAGTTTTTGATATTTATTTTACATTTTCTCGATTTTATGTCACAGTTTTTCATTTTTTCATTTCCTTAATTCTTTCAATATTTTTTCGATGATAAGTATAATTTTTCGTTTATTCAATTTTTCAAATTTTTAATCTTTGTTTTTTCAATTCCCCGATGCAATTTTTGGATTTTTCCATTATCAGGTTTTCCGATTTATTTAATTTTCAATATTTCGATTGTACAATATTTCGTTTTTTCGATTTTACACTTTCTTCAATTTCTTAAGTTCTTGATTTTCAATTTTCATTTTATACTTTCGTTTTTTAATTTTTGATTTTTTAATTTTACAATTTTGCAATTTTTCCATTTTTTTAGTCGAAAAGTTGACAAATCGAAAAATTGAAAAATTGAAAAACTAAAACATGGGAAAAAACTGAAACATCGAGAAACTGAAAAAACGAGAAATAACAGAATCGAAGAAGTGGAAAATCGAAATATTGGTAATCGAAAAATTGACAAAGTGGAAAATTCAAACATTGAAAAACTAAAAGTCGCGACACTTAAAATTCGAAAAAATCAATGAGCCTAAAAATTGGAAAGAAGGAAAAACGAATCTATCCCAAAAATTGGAAAACCCAAAAATTGTGAAATCGAAAAATTATGGAATCGTCAAAATTGTGAATTCGAAAAACTGTAACATTGAATGAATGATCGGATACTTGAAATTAAATATTGAAAAATTTAAAAAATAAAAATCGGAAAATTAAAATTCGAAAAATTGAAAAATCCAATAATTGAACAAAATTCTAAAATCGTGCAACTGAGAAAGTTAAAAATTTTATACATTATGATTATTACATATTAAAATGAAAACTGTAAAAATTGCAAATTTTTATAATCGAATAAACGAAAAATTGAAAAATCGGGAAACTGAAAAATCTAAAATTAAAAAAACGAAAAACCAGAAAATTGAAGATCGAAGAATTTCAAAATGAATTATTCAGAAATCCAAATATTGAAAAATGTCAACTGAAGACAAGAAAAATTATACAATCATAACATTGAAAAACTGAAAAATTTTAAAAATAGGGACAATGAGAAACCGAAACGAAAAATAGCAAATCAAAAAACTGAAGAAATAAAAATTTGAAAAATGAAAACTCGGATAGCTACATGTCAAAAAATTGAACAAAAAAAAATTAAAATTGAAATATTTCAAATCTCGAACACTTGAAGAAAAACAAAATATTGAAAAATTTGAAATTGAAAAAACAAAAAATTATAAAATCGGAACATTGAAAAAAATTGTCGAAAATTTGAAGAAATGAAAAACTGAACAGTCGAAAAATTTTAAATCCAAAAATAGCAAAATATAAATATTGAATAATTCAAAAGTTGGAAAATTGACAAGCTGAAAAATTGGAAATGAAAATTTAAAGAATCGAAAAAAACAAAAAAATAAAAATTGATAAATTGAAAAATTCATGTTTTAACTCCATAGAAAATGGCAGAAAATTTTTAAAAATATACTTCGACCAATTTTTTATTTCTCAGTAAATAGCTCTGATTTTTACAATTCGTATTTCTGACACATGAATTACTCCCATTTGCCTAAATATTTTTGGAAAATGCAAAGATCCTAACCTAACAATCTTAGGCTGTTTCTGTATAGTTGCTGCCTAATAGGTAGGCAACCAATAATTTACGTCGAATGATAGTTTGCTACCTCATAGTGGCAAATTGTTATTAAAACTGCAGTGATTCAATTTTCAAAGTCAGTTTACGTATAATATTTTATAATCACCGTATATTATTCTGGAATATAAAAACAACATTGCCAGCAGTATATAGAGCCAATCAAGGCTAATTTTTCTTTTTAATTTTTACAGTGTGTATATATTTATTAACAGCATATTTAACATATGAAATTATGTAGTTCCAACGTTACACCGATTACAATCTCACACGAAGTCATAAAAATTACATGAACGTGACAAAAAAATCATGCAATGTTGAGTGCAAAATGTAAAATCTGTAAAATCATAGAAAATAAAAAAAAATGTCCCGCATTGCAGATTACATTTCTCAATAAATTTTATGAAAATGGCGCCATTAACTTCCTGGAGGGCATATAAAAGCAACGTTTAATTAATTTTTTGTGTCCTCTAAGTCAATATTAGCGTCCTATTAAAATTTCAAGATCAGTATTAGCTTTTCGAAATTAATAACTAAGTGTCAGTGTTAAGCTGACGTCATCAATTTCGTAGAGCGGTTGAAAGACAAATTTCTTAATGTTCAAGCTGATTTCAAATTACGATATCTGTAAGGAGCGCTGAAAGCGTCTGAAGTTTTCATGACTTCTGAGACCCAGACGCTTGGCCGCTGTTGTTAAAACTGTAGTTTGCGTAATGTGTCCGCAATAAAACTTTGTGGAAACAATTACTGTTGGTATTGTATGCCGATATCCGGATAAATTTTGCCTTTTGCATCATCCTAAAGCGGTTGAGCATCAGCATCCGATTGGACAGATAAATATTTACATAAATATATGGAATCCGGATCAACAGAAATAATGAATCCGTACACTTCTTGAATAAATAATAGAAATTCCCCGAAAAAAGCTCGCCTTCGTTAAAATTGCATGAAATTCTGTTTACCCTAAAAAGGCGTTTGTGATGAAGCTCAGCACTCTTGTACGTGATCTACTTACCCTAATTGCAATCGGAAAAATACTTTAATAAACCATCTTTAAATATTTACCATCGCTGGAAACTCAGCAAAGTTTAAACCGCCTATGCGACTAATTGCCGACACAGTGCTTTAAAATAAAAGCCCTCTTTCACCCTCGGGCTCGGTAAAAAATCCGTCAAAGCTCTCCGGTGTCTGTTTATTGATTAATGAGAGGAGACTTTCTGCGGAATGAATCTTCTCCGCAGGAAAAAACTCAAGACGCAGGATAAACACACTTCAAAGCACCGCCTGTTTCGAGCTTTAAATACACAGAAACGTATCGGCGTGTAGAGAACGCTCAATTTTCTTAATTGAATTCTGAACTGGTGATGAGAGGTCGCTTTGCATAAAGCGCGTGTAAAAAGCATTTCTTGGCGACATTAATAACGCGTTTGCGGATGTTGCGCGTGCTTTAAGCCTATTCTGGGTTTAAATTGGCCGAAATCAGCAGTTGCGTGATGAACGCAATGATTTTATTTTCCATTAAACTAAAAATTGGGTTAGGAGAGAATTACCGAGGGGAGATTAAGCGTTCCTTAGATCTAATGGGATGCCCACGCCACATCGAAACTTTTAATGGCAAGACGAAAAAATTAATGACAATCCGACAGCGCATCCCCCATATGTACAGTGTGGACACCTAATTTATTACCTTATTTTTAACGTCCCTCGAAGCAGCAAATTGGCGAAAAAGGCAAACATTGCGAAGGGAACTTGACGGACGGTCTCTATCATCTTCCACGCTTGTCCGGTCCTCCCGGAGTTTATTATATTCCGGGAACTCGCAGGGATGCATAAAATATCACACAGTAATGCGAAGTGGCAAGAAAATATGTTTACAACGGAGAATCTGAAAAAGCGACCAGAAGGTTAAGCCTAATTTTTTAATTTGTTGACGGTTGAATATATTTGTTATTGGTATTACATTTTCTGTACTAAAATCTGCGTATTTTTTCCGTAAAATGACGTCCGCACAAAATTTATTAATAAAAACCGTCGTTTTAATTTTTCCGTTTCATGTAAATTTCGTCGAAATTGTTTCCATCCGAGGCCCCCAAGTCAGCCGAAAACTTCGCCCCATCAAAAACGCTTATGAAAACGAGGCATTAAATTCCTAATCTGGTTGTTTTCGAACTTAACTCGATCATCGTTAATTCCTGAAAACGTGATTCGTCCGGAGATTCCGGATTTGTCCTGGCGATCCGCCCTGCATAAAACATGACGTCCTCAAAGTGCGTCAATTTAAAAAACACCCCACGTCCACCTTTTCCATCACTTTATTTAATGGATGAAGGAATCGCTCGTTTGCATCCGCCATTATTAAATTCGGTTGCGACCCACGATAAATTATAAATTAATTGCAGGACCTGTACGACCATAATTAGGATGTGGGCCGTGTATGTTCGACGACACTATTACCGGAGTAGCGCCGGAGCGGGGATTCCGGTGATAGATGTGGCTTATCGTCAATTACCACTAACCGGAGCCAATCGAACTGACGCAGGGAAATGTTCATTTGAGGGTTATCTATATTAGAAGGGGTTATAGGGCAATATAACAGTTTCTTCGTAGTTGGGGACTTCTTTTAACGGGCTGTAACACTTCGCCCTAAAAAACTTCCTTCACGCATCTGAAACGGTTATTTCATTGGTGAGATTGTGCACAAATTTTATAGTCGGGTCTACAACCCAGGAAAAATAACCACAAATTGTCGAATTTTCTCTTTTGGGAGACCTGTTACATACTTGTACATGCACCCTCTACATTTTTTGACGCACTGCACTTTAATCTCTTTTCATTAAAACCAGCTGCGCGGTCCCGAACTCATCTCCCCGGCAAAAATCTTGCCATAAATAATTTCGATTTGTTTTTAATGAACCCATTATTCACCGTCCACTGACAACTTAAGAACTCCATCCTGAATCCTTCGTGCCGGTCCCACAACGCCCTAATCAATTTCCGATACAAATTCACCTGAACTAAATTAAATTTCTACCTTTGTTGCAGATGTCAGCGGGCTGACTATCTCCCAGAACATGACGACTAAGGTGGTGACCGATGACACTTTTATGGTGGCGTGCCACAACAACGAGGGACTCCCTGTGACTTGGCGCAACTCGAAAGGGGCTGTTTTAGGCCCGAAAACACGTCCGGAAGCCCGTCAGGGTTCTTACGGTTATTCGATTATCTTCAAGTCGCCGCACCAGCTCGAAGATACCGGCAATTACACCTGCTCCACGCCGAAGGAAAAAAGGGTGTTCGAGCTGTTCGTGACACGTAAGGGAGCAATTTATTTTGTGTTTTGGGTTTTTCGTGGTTTGTAGTTTGGTTTGAGTTGCAGTGTTTATCATTTAATAACTTCGGCGATAGACTCGTTTAAATCAAACAAATTTCTACGTGACATTCTTCCGATGTATAGTCATAAACTCTTGAAGTTAATGAGGGTGTTGAAAGGACATTTTTCCCGTTCGTGATCTGCTCGGTGCAGGGGCTGCTGGGATGTTATTCATGCCGCTGGTATTTAGTTTATAGAGGTTACAACAAATCAAACATCGCAAAACCTAATTTTATAATTTTTCAAAGAAGCAAGATTTGTTGGATCTGTACTTCAGGCCTGAGGGAAATTTTGAGGAAATAAACTTCCACCAATTTTTAAGTTTATTATTTTCGACTTTTGGATTTTTCAATTTTTGGATTTTTCACGTTCTTGATGTTCGATATTTCCATTTCTCGACTTTCCGATTTCTCGATTTTTCGATTGGTCAGTTTTTCAATTATTCAGTTTTTCGATATTTCAATTTTCTATTTTTCAGGTTTTTGATTTATTTTTTAATTTTTAGATTTTTCGACTTACGATTTCCCCATTTTACAATTTTTCGATTTCCCCAATTTACAATTTTTTTATTTCTCACTTCCTCGATGTTTCAGTTTTGGGATTTTTCGATTCTTCAATTTTTCTTCGATTTTTCAATTTTCCAATTTTTAGATTTTTTGGTGTTTCGGTTTCTCGATTTTTCAAGTTTTCAATTCTTCAATAATTTTCCGATTTTTCAATTTTTTCATATTTCAGCTTTAGGTATTTCCAACTTTTCGATTTTAGTTTCAGGATTCTACCAATTTTCGGTTTCTCCATTTTTCAGTATTCGGTTTCTCAATTTTCCGATGTCTCAATTTAACGATTTTTACACTTTTCGATTTTATAATTTTTCGATTTTTAAATTTTTGGATTTTTCAAATTATAACTTTTTTAAATTTTCGATTTTTCGATTTGTCAATTTCTGGATTAATCGATTTTTTGGTTTTGGCAATTTTCGGTTTCTCGACTTCTCAATTTAATTTCTTCATTCTTAAATTTTTAGATTTTTCAATATATCGATTTTTCAGTTTTTTGATTTTCCAATTTTTTTATTTTTTAAATTTCGATTTTTCGACTTTGATTTTTCGTCTTTTTGATTTCCCCTTTTTTTAATTTTTCGATTTCTTAGTTTTTAATTAATAATAAATTAATTTTACCGATATTTTAAGTTTTGGGATTTTTCAATTTTTCGATTCTTCAATTTTTCTTAGATTTTGCAATTTTTCGATATTTCAGTTTTAGAATTGTTCAATAAATATTTCGATTCTTCGAGTTTTCTATTTTTCAATGAGTCGATTTTTTACTTTTTCAAATTTTATTTTTCGACTTTTCGGTTTTTCGGTTTTTGTTGTTTCGCTGTCTCGATTTTTAATTTTTTTGTATTTTCAATTTTTCGATATTTTAATTTTTCAATTTTTCGATTTCTCAATTTCTCAATTCTTCAATATATCTATTTTGCAATTTTCCGAATTTTTTAATGTTTCAATTCCTCGATTTTTTAGTTTTTCGATTTTTTGGTTTTCCGATTTTTCAATGTTTCCAATTGTTAAATTCTGTATTTTTCGATTTCCTGTTTTTCAGTATTTCGACCATTCGAATTTTGATTTTTCACTTTTTTGATATTTAAATTTTTCGATTTTTGATGTTTCGATTTCTCACTATTTCAATTGTCTGATTTTTCAATTTTTGGATATTTAAATTTTTCAATTTTTTTAATTTTAGATTTTTCGATTTCTCGATCTCTCGATTTAACAAAAACTTTTTTCTGTTTATTGACTCCAAGTTTTCAATTTTTAAAATTTTACATTTTTTGATTTTTCAGTTTTTCGCTTTTACAATTGTTTGATTCGAATTTTCGACTTTTCGTTTTTTAGATTTCTCGATTTTTCAAGTTTTCTAGTTCTAAATTTTTAAATTTAGGTAATTTTAATGAATTTCTGGACATTCCAATTATCCCATGTTTTAATTTTTTGATGTTTCGAATGCTCAGTCTTTAACTTTTCAATTAAAAAAAATTCCGTTTTTCGATTTTTCAATTTCCTCTTTTAGGTTTTTGATTTTTCAGTTTTTCGACTTTTTAAACTTCAACTTTGCCACTTCGTCTTATCGATTTCTAAATTTTTCAATTTTTCGATTTTTGAATTTACCAATGTTTCAGTTTTATGATTTTTAAATTTTTCGAGTTTTCTCAACAGATTTGGATTCTTCAATTATTCCACTTTTCGATTTCTCAATTTTTTTAATTTTTAGATTTCTCAATCTTTGGTTTTTTTGTTTTTTTTTATGTTTCCATGTCTCGATTTTTATATTATTTTATTTTTTAATATTCTTCGATATTTTAATTTTTCAATTTTTAAAATTATAGATTTTTCGATTTCTCTGTTTTTCAGTTCTTCAATTATTTAACTTTTTAGATTTTTCAAATTTTTTATTTTTTTAAGTTAAGATTTTTCAGTTTTTGTGTTCCATTTCTCTGCATCTTTTGATTTCTCGGTTTTCAAATTTTTGATTTTTACAATAATGTGATTTTTCGTTTTTTCTTTAAGTTTTCTAACTTTTTCCATTTCTCGATTTTTCGATTTTTTAACTTTTCTATTTTCCGATTTTAAGCTACTTCGATTTCTCAGTTTTTGGATTTCTCGATATTTTGATGGTTCGTTTCTCGATGTTTAAGTTTTAAATTTTTCGATGTTTCGATTTTTAGATTCTTCAATTTTTCCATTTTTCATTTTTTAGATTATTTAAATTTTCTATTTTTTTGATTTCTCGGTTTTTCATTTTCGACGTTTGAGCTTTTCGACATGTTAATTTTTAGATTTTTAAATTTTAGATTTTGCAATTATTCAGTGTTTTTATTCTTTAATTTTTCGATATTTCAAATTTTACATTTCCCCAATTTTCAATTTTTAGATTTTAAAATTTTTTTTTTCGATTTTTGACATCTCGGTTCTTCGATTTTTCAAATTTTCAGCTTTTGAATATTTCAAGTTAGGGAATTTATCAATTTTTGGATTTTTCAATTTTATCGATGTTTTAATTTTTTGATGTTTCGATTGCTGGATCTTTCGACTTTTCTAATTTCGATTCTTCAATTTTTCTATTTTTCAGGTTTTTTGTTTTTCAGGTCTACAATTTTTTAATTTTCGATTTTCCGACTTTTCGATTTGTCGATTTTTCAATTTTTCGATTTCTCAACTTTCAGTTATGGGATATTTCAATTTTTCTTCCATTTTTCAGTTTTGGGATTTGCACTTTTCGATTTTTCAATTCTTCGATTTCTCGGTTTTTTACTTTTTAGAGTTTTCAATTTCACAGATTTTCGGTTTTATGATGTTCCGATTTCTCGATTTTTCATATCTTCAATAATTTCAATTTTTCAGTTTTTCGATGTTTCGATTTCTGGATCTTTCGACTTCTCGGTTTTTGATTTTTACATTTTTGTGATTTTTCGATTTTTCTATTTCTCGACTTTTCGATTTTCTGATTTTCAGCTATTTCGACCTCTGTTTTTAGAATTTCCAATTTCACGACTTCTCAATTTCTCGAGTTTCTGGTGTTTTGTTTCTCGATATTTCAGTTTTTCAGTTTTTCGATTTTCCAGTTTGTCGTTATTTCAGTTTTAGAATTTTTCAATTTTCCGATTTTTCAGGGTTTCGACTATTTCAATTTTGCGTTTTTTGATTTCTCGGTTTTTCAGTTTTTCGACATTTGGGTTTTTCGATTTATTAGTTTTTCGCTTTTATGATTTTTTTATTCGATTGCTTGGCATCTCAGTTTTTCAATGTAAAAAATGTTGCCAGTTTTCGATTCTTCGATTTTTTGGCTTTTTACTTTTTGCAGTTTTCAATTTTTCGGTTTTTAGGTTTTATGATGTTTCAATTTCTCGATTTTTCGATTTTTTATTCTTCATATTCTTCGATATTTTAGTTTTTCAATTTTTAAAATTATAGATTTTTCGATTTCTCGATTTTTCAATCCTTCAATAATATCAATTTTTCTGTTCTTGGAATTTTTAAATTTTAGATTTTTCAGTTTCGTGATGTTTTGATTTCTACTCGATATTTCGATTTTTCGGATTCTTGGTTTTTGAATTTTACAATTTTGTGATTTTTCATTTTCCGTTTTTGAGCTGTTTCGATTTCTCAGATTTTTGGGTTTTTTCCATTTCTCGACTTCTCAATTTATTTGAGTTGTTGATGTTACGTTTCTCGATGTTTCGTTTTTCGATTTTCCATTTTGTCCTCATTTCAGTTTCAGAATTTCTCAGTTTACCGATTTTTCAGTTTTTCGACTATTTAAATTTTGAGTTTTTTTATTTCTCGATTTTTCAGTTTTTCGACTTTTGGGTTTTTCGGTTTTTCGACATTTGGATTTTTCGATTTATTAGTTTTTCGCTTTTATGATTTTTTTATTCGATTGCTTAGTTTTTCAATGTAAAAAATGTTGCCAGTTTTCGATTCTTCGATTTTTTGGCTTTTTACTTTTTGCAGTTTTCAATTTTTCGGTTTTTAGGTTTTATGATGTTTCAATTTCTCGATTTTTCGATTTTTTATTCTTCATATTCTTCGATATTTTAGTTTTTCAATTTTTAAAATTATAGATGTTTCGATTTCTCGACTTTTCAGTCCTTCAATAATATCAATTTTTCTGTTCTTGGAATTTTTAAATTTTAGATTTTTCAGTTTTTTGATGTTTTGATTTCTATTCGATATTTCGATTTTTCGGATTTTTGTTTTTTGATTTTTACAATTTTGTGATTTTTCATTTTCCGTTTTTGAGCTGTTTCGATTTCTCAGCTTTTTGGATTTTTTCCATTTCTCGACTTCTCAATTTTTTTGAGTTGTTGATGTTACGTTTCTCGATGTTTCAGTTTTTCGATTTTCCATTTTGTCCTCATTTCAGTTTCAGAATTTCTCAGTTT